AAAAAAAAAAAACAACTTAGATTTTAAAGGTTCAATGAGAAAAATTTTTCCACGTAAATTAACAAAAACACGAGCACCACCTCTTTCCCCTTTGTGCCCTCTCAGCCTCCAAACGAACGTCCTCCTCTTCACGTGCGCGTTCAGCCTCCTCGCTGATTCGAAGAAATACCTGCTCAATCGATGTTTGCGAAACGTGATAATCCGTCAAGCCAAGTCCAAGGTGGTGTTTCTCCAACAACTCAAACGCCAGAGACAATTTTGTTGTCCGCGGCAGGGCAAACGTCATGCGGTTCGAGCGGCGCTCCTCGAGTCGTGTGCCGGGGAAACTCTCGTAGAAGAACGCCTCCACCGCGGCCACTGCTGGCTCGTCATCGCGGCCGAGACGCACCGTCACCTCAAACCCACTACCGTACTTATTTTTGAGATGCGTCTTGTCGCCGATGCAGCGCAATGTGCCGTCGACCATTATGGCCACGCGGTGGGCCAGTGCCTCCACCTCCTCGAGGTGATGTGTTGTCAGCACGACGGAGCAGTTGTCGGCGATCTTCTCAACCGCGTTCCACAGACCGCGCCGCGCAACGGGATCCATGCCAGCTGACGGCTCGTCGAGGAATACAACACGCGGCCCACCCACAAGCGCAATCGCCACGCTCAACTTGCGGCGATTCCCTCCACTCAGTTCGTGCGCTAGCGTGCGGCGGTAGTCCGACAACTCGCACATGCGAAGTAGACCCGTCACAACGTCATCCCGCTGCGTCAACACAACGCCACGCACACCCGCGTACAGACGAAGATGCTCCTCCACCGTCAGCAGATCCAGGCACGCATCAAACTGCGGACAGTAGCCAATGTTCCGCAGTGCCTCCGCGCTGTTGGTCGCAATATCTCGGCCACAGATAGACGCATGTCCACTTGTCGGCAAGAACTCCTGGCATAGAATGGCTATGGTCGTCGTCTTACCCGCACCATTTGTGCCAAGGAAGCCAAACACCTCACCAGGCTTCACACCAAAAGTCAGATTCCGCACCGCAACTTTCCCACCAGAATAGACCTTGCGAAGGTTTACCACTCGCACAAGGTCGTCCGCACGGTCCGGTAAGCTCATCACCTCGCTGCGCTCACGCACAACGTCCTCGTCCTCATTCTCTATAACCTCTGGTGGGGCGTCAGGGTTATGGAAGGGCTTCCGGAAGTAATGTCGTCGTGCAGGGTGATCAATGAAAATGGTGAGCAACAGAAAAAACGGAGTCTCAAGAGCCATGTAGACACATGGCCACCCCACAACATTCATGTCCCACACTGAAGAGGAGTCACCGTACGATTTCCGCATTTGCAAGACAGCCAAGTTGTTGATGCACTCACCTATACAGTAGCTAGGCACAATGCGGAAGACCCAACGCAACGCCTTTGCAACATTCTCTGTCTTCGCAAAAAAAGAAAGCACAGATACGGCGAGAACACACAGAAATCCAACGACAAAACTAGCCAACATCACCACATTCTGCGCCTTCGAGTAGTCGTTGAACATGAAGCTGAGAACGTACGCCATGGCGATACCAGACACACCGTAAAGCAGAAAAGCCACAATCGTTGCACCAATATTCTCTGGATCAATGTACTCCCTACGGTTAAAAATGGCAAACACGATGATCACCAGAAACATCGTGATGAGATAGGAGCAAAGGTCAAACACAAAGTTAGAGAGCCAGTACACTGCAAACCGTAGTCCAGAAACATTTTGTAGGTGCCGTGCCTTGCATTGGCGCTCCTTTACAACCCACGACACAAATGTCGAGGGAATAAAGGTGAACGGAATCATTATGACAATGGATATTAACATCCCGAATAAGGAAGAATCAACTTCCTCCTCCCACTGAGTCCTTGCCAGGGTTTCCACACGGGTTACCATAGGTTTTGCCGAACTGTTCGCCCTGAAGAGGATTCCATTGTAGAAATTCACAAGGCCAATTGCAACCTCGTGTGGCGCCGATGTATTGTAGAAAATCATGCTCGCACCCCCAAGTGTGGGGTCGCGGCAGAAAATGGCACCATACCGTTCCAGACTGTGTGTCTTGTACGTTGACAGTAGGTAATCAGAGAGACCACTTGACGAGACGCTGGGCGCTACGATCGTCTTCGCGTTGGGGGAAAACGGCACCGACAAATTAAACACCGCATCGCAGTTCGCAACATCAACCTGAACGTCCGTGCCGTACAAACTGCTGCTCAGCACCAGCATCGGGCTATCAAAAAGTTTGATGAGCGTCAGCAGCATTGCCAGGAGCACACAGACAACCGGGCACACAATCTGAAAAAACTGAGTGCGTCGGTCCCGTAACGAGTTCCACAAACGTTTCGCCATCATCGCAGAGAACTGTGTCCACATGATATCTCTCTCTCGCTCCATCAAACTGACATTCCACACACACTGTGCAGCATCAACCGGAGTATTGCTCTCAGACTCATTGCTCTTGACATGCGTTGATGCGCCCTCCGCGATCTTGATGAAGATTTCCTCTAGCGTCGTTACTGAGAGCGAGTAACTGCACACACCGAGATCATTGCCACGCGTCTCAAGATCAGTGAGCAAGTCAGCGAATTTATCCTTCTTCTCCATCGGCAATCGAAATGCAATCTCACCAGCACCACTACCCACAGACTCCGCAGAATCCACATGTGATTGCACAAGCGCTTCCATGGCATCGCGGTCGGCATGTGCTACAACAGAAATTGTTATCAGATAACCAGCACCAAGCTTAGACTTTAGGTACATGCTGCTACCTGAGCACTGTAGACGACCCTTGCTCATGATGCCGATATGGTGACCCAACAGATCTGCTTCGTCCATGTAGTGTGTAGTCAGCAGAATCGTGTGGGATGCCGCCATCCGCTTCAGCAACTCCCACGTATGACGACGGGCACCCACATCCATGCCAGCAGTCGGCTCGTCAAGAAATACAAGGGGGCTCTCACCCACGAACGCAATGCCCACGGACAGCTTACGCTTCTGCCCACCGGAGAGAGCAGATGATCGAGTGTGCTCCTTATCCTTCAAATCCACAGCCTCCAGCAACCGCTCCACGGCACGATCCAGTCTCCCACCTGTCAACCCCTTAATCATTGCAAAGTAGCACATGTGCTCACGGCATGTCAACTCCGGCCACAAGATATTATGCTGTGGGCAAAATCCAATCTCCTGGCGCACCTTCGACAGCTGGTGTCGCACAGAGAGTCCGTACACATAGCAATCACCACCGTCGGCCTTTACCATTCCAGTCATCATGTTCATTGTGGTGGACTTGCCGGCGCCGTTATGACCCAACAGCACAGAGATCTCACCTTCTCGCAGACTCCAGTAAAAATTGTTCACAGCAAGAAAGGACTTTCTACTATGTTTAAACTTCTTGCGCAGCCCGACAATCCGCACAGCACTGCTCTGCCCATCCTCTACTTCCTCGAACACACCGTCTGGTGCACGTCCATCCTCGTGACAGTCGCCGTCATCACGTCTCCTACGGCAGAAGCACCACCGGATCGGCTCCAGAATACAGAACAGAGGATGTTGCGGCGTTCCCCACTCCCTCGGCATCACAGCATCGAGGTACACCATTATGAGAAAATACAGCACCGTGTCCAGTAACAGCATTCCCATTATGACAAGCAGGTTTGGACGGTCACGGAAGTAGGTCAAGTCAGATATCGACATCCCACCAGACAACTCGTGATCAAACATAATGGAAACACCCACGGCAAACCCACTCGGCGACAGCAACGAAACGGCAATTTTTGCAGGAGCTCCTGCGTCCCTCACAACGAACAAAGGAATGGCAAATACAAAGTAGAACAGTGGCGACAATAGAGCAGCAATCCGTGCTCGTGTAAACAGGGCGGCAAACAGCGCTGACAACATGATTGTCGAAAGACTGAAGACAAAAATCAGCAGAAAAATTACAAAAAAGTTTGATTTTGACATATATGTTAGCTTCATTATGAGCGCCATGAGCAAGCTTATGATGATGTACTGCACCAAGTACACAATAAACCATGCGAAATACATGACTCCCTCTGAAAGGCCCATGATCAGCATTGCCTCGCGGATGCGTAACTCCTTTTCAACTACAATGAGACGTGTTAGTTGTGAGACAGGAAAAAGAAACCCCATCACAACAATTACTGGTACCAATTGACCAGCTATAGACAAGAACAATGGTTTATCGTAGGCAGCTGTTGGCATTGGAGTGTACAGCAGCTCGTCATTGACAGTTACATTGATTATATTCCTCAAGTAATACGTGGATATCTCTCTTTGCAACGTAAGGAAGCCCGAGCCAATGTATTTCTCGGAACCGTAAAGCAGACCCCCAATATAGTCTGCTGCGACAATTACAGCGGTTGATTGTAAATCCGAGGCGTTCAAGCGGATCGCCACATCACACCTCTCTGGTGACATCTCGTTGACCTGCACAATACCCCAGATGGGTGCGTTATCTTGTGCTAGCTGTTCCGCGACATGTACGTCATACGTCCCACCATACACATGCCGAAAGTATTTGGAACTGGTGTTAAAAGCCTCTACCAGCGCAGCTGTGGCAGTAGAGACAGGGGCAAATAACAGCTTCCATTGCTGATCTGGGCTCACCAGGAGCCGTAGAATCATATCATCAAATGTCGGAGTAATTGCTGTTTGGCGGCCCATCATGTTAAACAAACCACGTGTAACACTATTAGCATCCTTTTGGTAGCACAGCCCTGCTGGAAAGGTGTTTCCAACATGGCAATGCAACCCATCCAGCTCATTCATTTGGCACGGGGATATGTTGGCTAATTCACCCATCGAGGCATTATAGCAAACAGAACTATGCAAATCTTTCATGACACCTTTGAAAACCTTAGAAACTTCAGGGTCCAGGTACTCTGACGCATCCTCGCTCATAGGTCCAAGAACCGCCCAGAAAAGTACTGTCAATACAAGAAAAATAACTGGTACGATGGCTTCGCAGCATGTAGAGCACGGGGACCGCCATCGCAAAAGACTGATTCGCTTCACAGTGGACGCCAACTGTGTAAAAAAACCGCCACGCCGTCCGACACGCCGACGGAGAGGAGTGCACGCCGCGCCCCCTCGAGGTTCACCGTACTTGTGCGTCGCAACACTACCTTCCATCGCCAATGGGTGAGGTGCCGGTAGCGTGACACCCTCACCCTGGACCCCTTTCTCTGACTGTACTTCATATTGTCCATCAACGTCCATCTGCGACCAGAAGCCGACCGAATCACGGGAAGGTGGTGGGACTCCGGAGCCCCCCACGTACACTTGTGGAAGGCCAACACCCTGCCCCACACGAGGAGCATCATGTTTAGAATTCGAATACATTCACCCTGTTTACCACGTTAGAATACTCTAAGCTTTACTTTCACCCTTTAAGAAGGAGAGAGAAACAGAAAAGAGAAACAATATTTTTCTTTATTATAACGAACACTGCATTACCTTTATTTCAGAAATAAATAACATTTTTTTTTTTTTTTTTGATAGCTTTCACCGAGTAAATAACGGAACTGACAAAATGGAAATGTTGAAGCCCTTTTAACACGTCTTCCGCTGGAGGCGATGTGGGTAGGGTTGGGTGGATACCCAAAAACATATTTGTAGAGTGTAAATAAAAAGAAATAATTTTACTAAACATTAAATCCCAGTGCGAAAATCGTTTGCACAGTACCGTACGATCTAACCATTCTCTTCGCAAGATTTCAGAATAAAGAAAAAACAGATGGGTGAATCAAGCAACTGAGGGACAACTCGACACGAGCAACACCAATGCAGTAAAACAAAGGCAATCAAAAAAAAAAAAAAAAAAACAATTAAAGAACTCACTTGCGAGCATCATTCGGCA